AACTCCTGGCTTTCTTAGCAAAATGTGCCAAGAGAAGGTGAAGCACGTTGAGAGGGAGGTAAAATGGAAAGATCAGGACTGCAGCAGTGGGTGAGAAATGTGAAATATTGGAGGAGAGACTCTGGCTTTTAGCTTGGAAGAGCAGCAGTGCTGCACTCTGTCCAGGAAAAGATCCACGAGAGGGGAGAGTTCCTTTAGGGGAGAGAGAAGTGGGAGAGCCACAGGTACTCCCACTGTGCTGGGGTGGGAGTATCCCCTTGGTTCATCTGGCTGTCCAAGAAGGAAAATTGAGGACATCAGTTAAGAAACTGCAGTGGGATTGCTTTAAATTTGCAAGGTCTTTAAGTGAGCATTTAAATAAAACATGCCTGCCTTTGTCTTGTAAAATGGACAGCTGTGTCAGGACAGGGTTCCTATCAGAAAAATTGATTTGGAGGGGGAGAATTTTGAGAATCTGACCTGACTTAAACAGTCTGTTCTGTAGCTGCTGAGCTGATGCAGCTTTCCTCTTTGTTCCAGGGGAAACTTGAACAGAACAGATTGGTAATGTCTGAACTTCCAGGGAAAGCTGGAACTTCAAGTTCTTGGTTTGTCAGACTTGGATCAGAGAGCACAGGGCACACACAGTCACAAGCCTGAGCTTTTAGATGTGTCCCCACCACATGATTTCTGACTAAAGATAGGTTTTTATAAAAGATAGATCATAGGAATCATGGAACATTTGCCTGAGGATGTTTTCTTTGGCTGATCTTCCTGCATGCCTCTTAAGGTCAAGGTCTGATGGCGTTGGAAGGTTTTATTTTCTGAGTAGTTCTACACAGTTTTCAGCAGGGCAAGCATCACACAGCTTCCATGGCTCCATTTTAATAAAAAAAAAAATGTTTTGTGTGTGCTTCCCAAATGAAATGCCTGGATCAGAAAGTCACAACTGCTCTTGAGGGGAAGAGGTGCAACATAAACCTGGGTTTCAGGTCGGCCTTTGTGTCTCGCTGAAGAATTTCTGCTCCTGCCAGCTGTTTATGGTGTTGAAAACATATTTTCCTTTTTTATTTGCCATACTCAGTGCTGATTAAACATCCTAGGATATAAAGAAGACTGGTTGTAAGAGGAAAATCAGAGTGATGTATCATATTTTTCTTTTAATTAGGGTATTTTGCTGGTTTTGATTTACTTTCTAGGAAAAAACCTCTCTTGACTGACTGTGTGATTAAGTAGCTGATGCAATAATTCTTTACAGAGAGCAAAAGATGCCAGAACATTTGAGTGGTGTAAAACTCGACTGCAGAGAGGATTGGAAAAGGTACAAGGAGGAATAATTTTGTCTTGGCAGGAAGTAGACTTAATAGTGCCTTTTTTATCTGTAATTTTGATGATTCTGTGGCTAACCAGGGCAATGTTTAATGTTCCTTCTACAGCAGGTGAAGGCAGAAGAAGGAAAATTGACGCCCCCAGCACTGTTATAATTCATTTCATTCCTTCACCCAGGGCTTTTATATTTTATATTTATATTGTCACGCCCATAAAGCCCCAGCGTGCACACTGAGAGCCAATCCATCTTTATCTGCTACTCCTGATCCCACTGAGGTGAATGGCAAAGCTCCCATCAGTGTCCATGGCCCTGGGATGTGGCCCATTTTGGAGATACACAACGTGGATTTCCTGCACAGGCCGTTTTTTGTGGGCAACATCCAAGGCTGGGAGAATGTTTGATAAAGTAGTGAGTCCCAGGCACTGCTGGGGGCTGCAGCTGAGGAGAGAACGTGATCTGTCTGCAAAACAGGAGTTACAGGCTGGCATCTACCTATCTATCTATCTATCCATCTATCTATCTATCTATCTATCTATCTATCTATCTATCTATCTATCTATCATCTATCTATCTATCTATCCATCTATCTATCTATCTGTCTGTCTATCTATCTATCTATCCATCTATCTATCTATCTGTCTATTTTTCCATTTATTTTAGGCACATGGGATGTTTCCACGTGTGAAGTGCTGGGAGGTGAAGTGGGTGAGGACGTTCCACAGCACTCTGCAGCACCAGGGGCTCAGAAAGGTCCCTTTTGTAAAAGGATCTGTTTGAATAGTGACTCAATTAGCAAGGTACAGCCAAAAAAATGAATTGGATGGATGTTTTAACTAGTGTTCTAATTGGAAAATGTTTTAAACAGGGGTAAGGTGTCTGTCTCCTCCAGAACCCTCTGTCCTTGATGCTATTTAATGAAAATATACAAAGTATGAGTTGTATTTTAGTAGCTGTAAACTTTGCTGGTTGTGCATTGAAAGATCTCGATTTTTCATAGCAGCATTCAACATGTGCACACTGGACATGGAATTACTTGACTTTAATTTTAGATGCAAAATACCTTCACTCAAGAAGCATCTTTTCTTCAAATGATGTGACAGAGAGCATTCCCATTCCCAGCTCAGTGCAGGAACAGGGTTTGCAGGGGACTCAGATGAGAAGTTTGCAGTTTAAATAAAACTCCTGTTGATTTAAGTAGCTGTGCTGCGTGGGGGTGACACAGTAATTAATTGAGCAGAATTTCTGAAGGACATTTTCATCATCCAAGTGTCCAAGCAGTCCACTTGGATCCAGTCCCTTGCAGACACTCTTGGAAAACACCACTTATTGAAGACACCTGTGAATTTACTGGTTTTGGTTGGCTGCTTTTCACCATCATGGCATTTTCAGAGGTTTGTGGAGTTTTTAAAATATGTCAGTATTTAAATGTAAGTATTTAAATATGTAAGGGTTGGGGGGGGGGGGGCTGTTTTTGCTTTGTTTTAATTTTAGATGCAAAATTGACTTGAACTGCCAGGCTGGCATTTATACTCCTAAGTGGTTCTTAAGAGAATGCAGACCTTGAATTCCAGTGCTGAAAACACTTTCATGTAGAGCTGGGTCTCAAGTGCTGGACTGTGCACTGTGGCACCTCTCACTGTAAAGCACCTACAAACCACTTTTGGCTTTGTGGAGAGGGTGGTGGTGTGGCTGCAGCACCAGCTGGAAGCTCGGAAAGTCAGAGTTCAGTTCCTAGTTGGTTTTGTTTGTCTGTGGGTTTTGTGGGTTTTTTTGTTATTTCCTTTAGGCAATTTGCTTCTGATGTGATTTTTTAAAGCACTTGGTGTGGGCCTTGCTGTGAAAAATCAAAAAATTCCTGTTGACTCACCTGGAAACGGAGTTGAGGCTTCTTGAAGCACATTTGCTGTTTCGGCCTCAAAGTCTCCAGGAGTTATTTTTTCATCTGCCTGCTGATAATGATGGGTTTGACT